GCATGAACTTATCACTGGCATCCTTGTGATATGATCCTGCAGTAGTACCACCAGTTGAGGACCAAGCCTTCAACACGGGAGCCTTTGGGAATTTGGAGATCCAAAGCACAGCACAGGTCACTGGTCTTTGCAATTACTCACAGACAGATCTGTCTCCTGCCACCTCCAAACAGCCTCGTTTAACACTTCACTTATCTGATGGGAAAGGTGTTTTCTGTCTGCATCTAATGTGACCCTGTCTAAACTAGAACTAACTGAGTGTTGCACTAAAACAGTGGGGTGCCTTGATTATCCGCGCATGCTCACTGGAAGGGGTCCCCTCTGCTGTCTGTACAAATGCCATGTCCTCCTCATTTCAGTTGTGGACAACAGCAGCAACTGGGCTGTGTGTGGGAAGAGCTGTGGTGTCATCTCCATGCCTGTGGCTGCCCAGGCCACTCACAGAGTCCATATGGAAGTGATGCCTCTGTTTGCTGGTTACCTCCCCTTGCCTGATGTCCGACTGTTTAAGTACCTCCCCCATCACTCTGCTCACGCCTCTCAACTGGATGCTGGTAAGGAGTTTACAGAAGAGCAGCTGCTTCCCTCCTAACAGAAAGTGGGTCGTGCCTGGTAACCCATCCCAAGTGGAAAGTACTGCAAGTTAGTTCACTCACTGCCCAGACCCACTGAGCACCTGAGCACAGCTTCACCTCCAACCCCCACTGTGCAGAACCTGTTTAAAAGTACCGATGTAGCCAGGCTTGGTTGCCCACACCTTTAATCCCAGCACTTGGGAGGCAGAGGCAGGCCTGGTCTACAAAACAAGTTCCAGGACAGACAAGGCTGTTACATAGAGAAACTCTGCCTTGTAATAAATAGTTAGTTAGTTAGTTAGTTAGTTAGTTAGTTAGTTAGTTAGTTAGTTAGTTAGATAGATAGATCTATCTGCCTTGAAATAAATAGTTAGTTAGTTAGTTAGATAGATAGATAGATAGATAGATAGATAGATAGATAGATAGATAGACAGACAGATAGATAAATGAAGTGCAGATGTAGATGAGATGGGATTCCCCAAATTGTGGGCTTCACAGTGTTCTTAGTGCTGTCCTGATGTTTCCCCAGCCATGGTGGGGGCAGGGCGGGGGTGGGGGGGCTGACCGGGACTGCCCTTTTTGCCACTACCTGGCATCTTGAAAGGACCAAACCACATTGCCAGTTCAGAGTCAGAATCTGAAGTGTGATTTCTACTGAACATAGTGTGAAAGCTGTAGACAGAGCCCTTTTAGAATTAATGATAAAATCTGTATTTGACTAGGCTGTAGCTTCATGTGGCAGACTGAAAGCTAAAACATATTTTTATGGCCGGTAGAAGTTAATACCCAAACCGAAGTCTGTTGCACTAGTTTCAAAACCACAGTAATTGTGTAACGATGTGAAACTCAGGTGACTCTTCTATATCCACACAGCAGCCCAGGTTGACTTCCCCCTTCCCCAGGCTCATGCTGGCTGCAGTGGCTTGGTCTGACTTCCTGTGTCTTCCACAGACAGCTGGATAGAAAATGACAGCCTGTCAGTGGACAAGCACCTAGACGACCAGCTGGACTGCAGCAGCATGCGGAGTAGAGGCAGCACACACTCAGCTTCCAGCAGCGAGCACAAAGGCTTGCCCATGCCCCGGCTCCAGGCACTGCCCGCTGGCCAGGTCTTCAACTCCAGCACTGGCATGCAGATCCTGGTCATTCCCAGTCAAGACGACCATGTCCTGGAAGTCAGTGTTACCTGACGATGCCATGGGCCAGCAAAGTCAGAGTGGCCGTGAGTGCACTTTAGGGAATGTGGCTGGATTGTGGTCTGTGGTAACACACTAGTTCTAACCAGACTTTGGCAGTCCTGCCTAGCTACAGACACAGCAGAGAACAGTGTCCTTCAGCTGCTCAGTGGAGTAGAGAATCACCTCATGTTGTCTATGACACAGGATTCGTTTTCTTTTTTTCATCCCTGACCCTGTCCCCGTGCTGGTACCCCAACTCATCGAACCCTCCCCACAAGACTGGTCTCCTCCCACAGCCTTTCTCTGGGTGGCTCCCCATCCATTTCCGTTTCTTTCAGGTGGACCTTCAGCAGACTTTGCAGTCTTCTTATGGCACTATGTGCCCTTCTGCTCACACAGCCCAGACTCTGGGCAACTTGTGGGCCTCCTGAGGGATGAAACACTGTCCTACACTCCAGATTCCCTAGTTATGGTTTTATAGTAACACCTTTTGGGGCCGGGGTGGGGTGGGAGGGAACATAACCCCTTCTGTGCCTTGGGATGCCCGGCAGATCACAAGGTCCATCTGTAGAAGCCACATGAAAGGTACTGGAGAGACGACCAGAGCACAGGGAAGTGTGATGTGGTCATGGCTTAGGCTAAAAGTTCTGGATCCCTGATTCTCCCTAATGTTGATTGAATATCATATGCACTTGGAATTAAATCTATATTTATTATAATTGTTGGATGTGGGGGTGAAATGTTTTCTCTCACTTTAAAGTCTGCTCATGTATTGTAGCTGTATAATCGACATCTTTTGCACCTTAAGTCTTGGAACTGAAGATGCTCCATCCGGAGTGAAGATGAGAGAGGTCTCTCTTGTGCTCTGGTCAGTCGTAAAGAAGGACTCAGGGCCTGGAGGAGCCTCTGCTGGTCCACTGGGTTGCAGTCATGCCGCACCAATGGGTTCATTGACTTTTGGTTGTAAATTTGATTGTACATATTGTTGATTTATTATTTTTAAGAGTACAGACTAACTGATGTAATGTTTGTGTATAAGTTGCACCAAAAATCAAGGACAAAATAAATGTGTGTTTGTTTTTACTGGTGTGGAAGTCATAGCTTGTAAATACATGCTGTATGTATTAAACGTTTTCATTCCTCCGAAGTGATGTATTTTTGTACATATGAGATAGAGTGCTCTGGGTTCATTGGCGTGGCTTACATGAGTGGAACCTGAGACACAGAGCTGGACGAGGAAGCAGTGGCTGTCCCCCAGGGACAGAGCTTGGGCACAGGGAATCAGGAACACAGGCAGAAGCCAGGAGAACCAAGCCAACATTTTCAGTATTTAGTGTATTTCCTTTTTAACTCAGTCAGCAAATAAAGGATGGTGTTATTCCCGCCCCCTCCCATCTCTTTCATTTGCAGGAATTGGAATGCATACCAAAAATAAATATTTACTGAAACTTACTTTATTGAAGTTTAAAATGAATAAGCTTGGGCAAGCTAGTTATGCAGACTAGGACTTTCTTACTTACTGAACGTTTATAACCCTCTGAGATCTGTTGCTGTAAAACTTGAGAGTTGCCCTGCAGATGTCAAAGTCCGTGTATGAGGAGGTCTCTCAGACTGGCTCCTTCAGAAAAGCTTCTGCCTGGCACTGTTAGATCTCCCTCTTCATGTGTGCTGTACTGCTCATCTTAAGAGTGGAGTCGAAGTCTGCTTTTACCATGCCTTGGCTTTCAGAGTTCTCTGGAGATTTGTAATTACATATATTTAGAACAAAACAACAGGAAATCTAAAATGTTGATGGTAGGTCTGTCAGTCTGGAAACAGGATAAAATCAAATCTGTCAAGGGATTTTTTTTTTCTGCCCTCTAGCTACCCAGAAATTACATGTGTGTGTTTTCAAGATGGGAGATATCACCCAAAGTCATCCTTCTATTTGTGGAGGGGCTAGGAGACTGTCACTGGATTCTGTCGTAAGGGTATGTGTGAGACAGGCTAGATTGGTGAAGATGTAGCAGATGTTAGACATTGTGAAGCCAGATAGGGAGGGAGTGTGTCTCAGAAGCAAGAACACCAGCGTTTACAGACAGCTGGTACTGCGTGTAGCTACAAGCAGCAGGAAAGAAAGTCCGTTATAATCGTTGATAGTTTCTTGGAGTCTCCTGTGATTGGAAGGACTGTAACTTCTGATTCCAATGTGGGAATTGTATTTAATGTCTCCTGCCTACAGCCCCATTGTGCAGCAGCCTAGAGTGGGTGCCTGCAAGTTTCAGACAAGAATAGAAATCTTATGAAGAGGAGATAACTTGGCTTTTTCTCTAGGGTTTAAAACAAGGTTAAAGCCGGGCAGTGGCGGCGCACGCCTTTAATCCCAGCACTTGGGAGGCAGAGGCAGGAAGGTTTCTGTGAGTTCGAGGCCTGCCTGGGCTACAGAGTGAGTTCCAGGAAAGGCGCAGAGCTCCACAGAGAAACCCTGTCTAGAAAAACCAAAAAAAAAAAAAAAAAAAAAAAAAAAGAAAGAAAGAAAGAAAGAAAGAAAAGAAAAAAAAAGTTAAATTTTAAAATGAAATTAAACATGCCAAGTTTTATCTAAAAACACAAAATTATGCTACTTTTTATGAAAGAACTGGGAAGATCAGTGTGATTCCCTTCAACCATGATGCTTAAAATAAGCCCTACGTGACTTTAAAATTTTATTTCTCAGGAAGACCCTTCTTTGTAAGACAGCTGGCAGCTGTTCTCTGGGACTCAGGCTAGGAAAGGTGAAGGCTGACCTTGACATAAAGGAGTTGGTTCTATCTTCACAGTATTCTGTAATATGTCAGAGTAAAGCCACTGTACAAAGACCGTTTAAAAGTGTAAGCATTAAAATTCTAAAAATACACATTTTAAGAAGAAAGTCCGTTTGAACTTGGTTCTTTTGCGATGGCTCGGTCATAGTCGAGTATGCGGTGATCTGCCCGCTTTCATAGTTCCTACCCGGGAGCTCGCAGCAGCTGCGATCCAGACATTAGCTTGGTTCTCCATGGTCCTACTTGTCTCGCTGAGCCTGCGTAGTGCCGGCTGGCAACGAGGAGGGGGCGGTGCTTCTCCGGACGCTGCGGTCGTGGTCCCGCCCCGGAAGTGCGTGTTCTGCGCGCCGGAGGTAGTTCGATTCCGGAAGTAGCTCAGGACAGGTACCGCACGTGTGGCTGCAGGATGAAATTCGCTTACCGGGTGAGCAGCGGCCTGGGCGGGGGCAGTGGGAGGGCGAGCGAAAGCTCGGCGGACGCGGGAGATACTGGGGTCTGCCTGTGGAAGCACTGGTGGGTCGGCCCATCGCAAGCTGTTGCTCCTTTTCCTTTCCCAGTCACACTGAAGCCCCGGTTCCCTTCAGAGTGGGTCTCAGCCTTGTCCTCACTCATCCTCTCAGACAGTGCAGCAGTGGCTGCTGAAAGGCCCTTAACACCAAACCTCAAGCCACAGCTAGCTCTCTACAGGGCCGCCAGTCCTAGGAGCAGTCACACCTCTTAGGAGCCAAGCTCTGCCTGTTGCTACGTCGTTGCATAACTGTCCACCTACAACCCAGGCCCTGGCCTGGCTGAGTCCTGCCAAGGTTTCAGTCCAGGCAGTCCCTCTCATCAGCTACCTGACTGCACTCCTGGGCTGCTGTGTTCGGACATCAGTCTGATTGATTGCCTATGTGCCATTTCTCTTCATATTGGACATAAAACACAAGGTCCAGGTGTCTGCATTGAGCTATGTCTGCTGGATGTCGATGCTTGCATTTGATAATTGAATGGGTGCTGATGCATAGCATTGGTGTGGTGAGCACCTCCTGGAGCCCTGTTCATTGACGTAGCTTCTCTTGGAATGGGGATCTTATGGCTGTCCTTCTGTGCCTGGCAAATGCCTCCTTCCTTGTTGGGAGTCTCTTACCCTTAGTGGGAACCCTGGACTCCTGAGAATTAGGTTGGGCTCCTGTCCTGCCTAGGGGTCAGGCACTTTGCCACCTCTGCCCAGATGCTTCCTGTCACCATTTCAGAGAGTTGACACTGTTTTCTTTGTGTTAAGACGACTTCATTCTCTTTGCAGTTCTCGAACTTGTTGGGTACAGTTTATCGGTGTGGAAACTTAAATTTCACATGCGATGGAAATTCTGTTATCAGCCCTGTGGGAAATAGAGTCACTGTGTTTGACCTTAAAAAGTAAGTATGGAGAAGCAATGTTAGCAGTGACAGTTAGAGCCTGTACATGAAGGCTAGCTGTCCTCTGAGCCTTCCTCCTTGTGGCTTGCAGGGCTACTGGATTTAGGAGGCCACTGGTCATGGTAGAGTTGCCTGTGGGGATACCCAGTCTTCATTTTAGTGTCTAAGATACCCACACTACCCTTAAAGGGAAAGGAAAAGTCATGTGCCTTTCAGCTAGTGCCTGGCAAGGGACCCTACCTCTTCTATGGAGGTGGTGGCAGGTAGGAGGGTTATCTCAAAGGTGAGCATTTACTATCAGGAAGAAGCCTCTGAGGACCCGAGGACACGTGGTTTGGAGAGTTCAGGCTGCCCTGGACCCTTGCTCAGTAGCCCTGATGGTTCCTGGCTTCCCTAATCAGATGATCAGATCTAGAATGGGCAGCTTGGCAGCTCGAGGTCAGGTTTAGCTTTGTGAGTCCCAACAAATGTGCTACCCACTTCCTGTCTGGCTGGGAATAACTCAACCCCATCCTGGACTGTCTGAGAGGCTGTGGGCTGACCCTGGGTAGCCTGGGCAAGAGCCTCCAGTTTTTCAGGCCGCTGTGCTCTCTGTTCTGTTTCATCAGTTGGTTGGCCAGCTCTGGGCCTCTGTTTCCAGACTGTGTCGGATGGGGCAGTGGTGGAACCTGCTCTGCCTGTTGGTGATGACTCGGGGAATGACATTATAGAGTCTAGTCAGGTCTTCTATGTCGCTGTTTCTTTAAATAGCATCTTCTTAGGGACTTTGGAATAAAGAGAACCTGTGGCAGGAGAGTCAGCTGATAGTCTAGCCATCTCCCCTGTCCGAGTGCACAAGACCAACTGTGCACTGGGGTGTTTGTTTCTCAGCAACAGATCAGATACGTTGCCCCTGGCCACTAAGTACAACATCAAGTGTGTGGGGCTGTCTCCAGACGGTCGCCTTGCAATCGTCGTTGACGAAGGTAATCGATCTTAGTGTGGGTCGGCACTGGGGTGGCCCTGTGTCCGTTGTGCTGTGTGACAAGGGCATCACCACAGCCAAGCTCAACTCTATAGCGTGGGTCCGGGAAACCCATGTCCCATGCACCGCAGCTTCCTGCATTTCAGTGCAGATGTGCTGCATCTGGGGTCAGGTGGCCACGGTCTCACTCTGGCCTCTTGCAGGGGGCGACGCTCTGCTAGTCAGCCTGGTCTGCAGGTCGGTGCTACACCACTTCCACTTCAAAGGCTCCGTGCACAGCATCTCCTTCTCCCCTGATGGCAGGTAAGAGCATCAGTCTCCTGGCTGGATGTGGCTGTGGGTACCACTCTGTAAAGAGCAGGATACAGGGCACTGGTCTTGGGTCAGCTCATATCATATCATATGCCCCCCTCATATCACCTGTGACCCTGTTTCTTCTTTCTGCAGAAAATTTGTTGTTACTAAGGGCAACATTGCTCAGATGTACCATGCCCCCGGAAAGAAGCGAGAATTCAATGCATTTGTTCTGGACAAAACCTATTTTGGGCCCTATGATGAGACTACGTGCATCGACTGGACAGATGACTCCAAGTGAGGCTGGGGGGCACCTTGGGCCATGTGTCCCTGGAGAGTGCAGTTTCCTTCTATAAGCCATGGCTGCATTTTAAACTGTGCATGTGCCTTCTTCTGGTTAGGTGTAGCCTCCAACTGAGGAGCCAGTAGTAGACTGAGCTCCTGGCTCTAAGTGAGGGCTACAGTATTCCTTCTTCTCTTTGCCACTGTAAACCTCCTAATAGAATGCAGATCTTTGTAGAAACGAGTTCCCATTCAGTTTGTCAAGAACACCCAAGCCAGCTCCCGAGGACTGGTTCCCACCTCATACACTGTCTGATTGTCCTTACCCTGAAGTCATCTGTGGGTTTTTGGCTTGTCTTGGGTGCTTGGGAGAGGTTGGTGGCAGTCACAGGATCTCTCTTGTTCCTGCACACTGTCCAGACCTCCAGCAAGCACAGAGCCAAGACTGCATTGTCAGTGCCCTGCCGCAGGATGCTGCCTCTGCACAGCAGCAAGCCCATCCCATGCATTTGACTGTGTAGTTAACAGACATCTAGGGTGGAAGGCAGCAGCTCCCATTCCTTCAGAAAGAAGCAGGGGCTTATGACTGTGTGGCCACAAGAGGAGCAGCACTGTCGTGGGCTCTGAGAAAGTGTCTCTATCCCAGGTGCTTTGTGGTTGGAAGCAAAGACATGTCCACCTGGGTGTTTGGAGCTGAACGCTGGGACAACCTCATCTACTATGCCCTGGGTGGACACAAGGATGCCATTGTGGCCTGCTTCTTTGAATCCAACAGTCTAGATGTATGTACGTCCCTTGCCTGCCTAGCTTGGCAGTCTAAGCCTCTGTGAGGCTGCCTCTAGGTTGTTTGGGGATCTTTCAGGATTATCCCTGGCCACTGCCCTGGTCGGATGGCCCTTGGTGGAGCTGGAATCCAAAAGCTAAACTGGAGGGGGCACCTGATACAAGGACCTGGGCATCAGATGAGTGGTCTGTTTCCAGTCCAGGTGCTTCTCTTACAGCTGTACTCACTCAGCCAAGATGGAGCCCTGTGTGTGTGGCAGTGTGACACACCCCCTGAGGGCCTGAAGCTGAAAGCCCCTAGGGGCTGGAAGGCAGACCTACTTCAGAGGGAGAAGGAAGAAGAAGAGGAGGAGGAAGATGAAGAGGAGGGGGATCGGGAAACCACCATCCGAGGGAAGGCCATGCCAGCCGAGCAGGAGAAGGCTGGGAAAGTGAAGTACTCACGGCTGGCCAAGTAGGTCTCCAGGGCTGAGTATTCCAGGTCTATACTCCTCACGTGGGGACTTTACTGGGGAGGACCTAAACCTAGGTACAGAGAACAAGCCCTTGAGTGTGTGAGCCTGGATTGGGGTCCTTAAGTATTAGATGTAAGACCCTGTCCCAAAGACTAGAGGACCTACTGCCTCATAGTCTGGCAGGAGGGGAGGTAGGCCTGAGGAGACTGATATCATATACAAAGGCTGGTCATGGTCACCTGAGAGCAGAATTAATAGCTGGGGTAGCCATACTTCACCGCAGCCTGCCCTGTTGTGGCTGTTCCAGCCTTTACCATTCTCTTCACTTATTTGGCACTCACTGTGTGCTGGGCTCTGGTCTTGGCCCTGGGAACATATCACCAGGTTTCCATTTGAGAGGTATGGAGGGATTGTTTGACCCTGTGGTGTGACAGTGGCAATATGGTGGGGCTATGGGCAAAGGAATAGTCATGTCAGTTCTGTTTCGAAGACACCTGGCATTGGATGGGAGCCACTGTTCAGGGTAGAGAAGGACAGGACCATCATGGCATCTGAACTGGAAGATGAAAATGTCCAGGATAGGAAAGAGCTACTCTACAATGTCAGACAGAGGTGGAAGAGGAGGTCTGGATGGACTTAAGGTCTCTGTGAAGTCTCAGGATGTCCCAGCAGAGTCAGGACGTAGACCAGGATGGGGTGTGCTTGGCCTCATTCTAGTGGGAGAGCATCCACTGTGCTTGTGGGCAGGTGTCAGTGCAGAAGGAAGGAGTCTGTCTGTGGGCAGTAGGGAAAGGGCTGGGGTGGGACCTGTGACGAAGACTCAGGGAACAGGTCGCCTTCCCCAAACGTAGGGGTGCTTCTGGGGTCCTTCACATGCAGATAGGAGCCGCTAGAGAAGGCAGGTGTGCTAGGAGACAGTGGGTCTGGCTGCACACCCACCCTGAGCTTGGGGACAGAGCCCTTGTCCCTCTGTCTGTTGATGCAGGTACTTCTTGAATAAAGAAGGAGATTTTAACAACCTGACAGCCGCCGCGTACCATAAGAAGATTCATCTCTTGGTCACAGGTTTTGCCTCTGGAGTCTTCCATCTGCATGAGCTCCCAGAGTTCAACCTCATCCACTCCCTGAGGTGAGTCTGGCTCACTGGGGTGCTTCTGTACATGCGCAGTGAGGCCCAGGGTGAGTGTGTGTGCAGAGCAGCTTCCCACCAACCTTTGCGCCCCCTGCCCCAGCCACAGGTGTCAGTCTCGGGCGTGGGGGTCCATTCTCTGTCCTTGGGTCTTTTCATTCCGTTCTTACCTCGGGAGTGTTAAAGTGCTAGTTCCTCAGTGACTGCAGGCAGGTGCCAGCGTGCGGGGACCTGAGCTCCTGCAGCGGAAGAGGGTGCAGCAGTGGACAGGGTGCCCACTTCTCTTCACCCTCCCTCCCTATGCTCTCGTCTGCCCAGTATCTCCGATCAGAGGGTTGCTTCGGTTGCCATCAACAGCTCTGGGGACTGGATCGCCTTTGGCTGCTCAGGTTGGTTTCCCTGCCCTAAAGACGAGCTAAAGTCGAGCCTTGCAAAGAGCCCAGTGAAGCCAGACTGGGCCTTGTGAGGCCCCAGAGTGCCACGCTGTACATTCTGTAGTAGATACCAGCTCCCCTGGGGAGTAGAACCACAGCCGTTCTAGATGGGGTGTGTGGCAGGACAGTCACTGAAGGCTACAGATCGTTGCTTTTCTGAGACCCATGCTCATACTTAAATGTCAGTCCTTCAATGGCCCCTTGGTCTTGGCCTGCAGCAGGTGCTCATATCCCTGCCTAGCAGTCCTGGACCTGCCCTCTGCGCCAGTCCAGCCACCTGCCGGCTGCAGATAGTGGGACCACTTCCCATGCCCTGGGCTGCCTTAGGCCTATGCTCTTAATGAATACTCAAGGTGAGCCCAGACCCAGCTGACTGCATTGCAGGAGTAGTTGGGGATACCCTGTCCCATCCTGTGTGCAGAGGCTAGGGGTAGGTGTCCAGACAGTACCTCAGCTTTCCTGTACCCACAGGCCTGGGCCAGCTGCTGGTGTGGGAATGGCAGAGTGAATCCTATGTGCTCAAGCAGCAGGGCCACTTCAACAGCATGGTATCCCTGGCCTACTCCCCTGATGGGCAGTATATCGTCACTGGTGGGGACGATGGCAAGGTGGGTACTGGCTTCATTGGGCTGAGCTGTGGGTAGGCCAGGTGGGTGGAGGTTTGGCCTTGATTTCTCGGGTTTAACAGCCCCAATGGGCCCCTAAAAGGCTTTAACCATTTAGTGGACTTTGCATGGAGGGAGTCCAAGTGTCCATGTTTCTGACTCTGTGACTGTAACAGTGCCAGTGGCCAGCATCTGAAGTGGCAGGCTTTTGCTGGGCCTGCCTCAGGCTAGAACTCCCATTGCCCCCCACACATGCCCTCAGTCTCCACTCAGAGGTGACGGGAGCCGTGGGGGGCAGGTGGCCTCTCTAGCCATCACCTTGTGTAGCCGCTATGCCTGTGTGTGAGGCTGCGTGGACAGGCTCTGGGGTGGCTGTATTCATGGCTCCATACGCTCCCACTATAGGTTAAGGTATGGAACACCCTCAGTGGCTTCTGCTTTGTTACTTTTACGGAGCACTCCAGCGGGGTCACTGGTGTGACCTTCACCGCCACGGGCTATGTCATTGTCACCTCCTCCTCGGATGGAACCGTGAGAGCCTTTGACCTTCACAGGTGAGTTCCACCCTCCAAGCACGAGGGCTCCAGTTCCTGTGTGGACAAACACTCAAGAGGTGCAAATGTGTGTTGGAGTCTACCTTGACCTTGTTTTTGTTCAGGTACCGGAATTTCCGCACCTTCACGTCCCCACGCCCCACACAGTTCTCCTGTGTGGCTGTTGATTCAAGTGGAGAAATCGTCTCTGCAGGGGCGCAGGATTCCTTCGAGATCTTTGTGTGGTCCATGCAGACAGGCAGGCTTCTTGATGTAAGAGCGATCTGGTCCCCTGGACCGTGGACTTAAGGCGCTGGGTGGCAGGTGGGCAGGGCTGTCCTTCTTTCTACCTTGCAAAAGCAGTGCAAGGGCTGGGCCTCGGACCTGGGTGTAGAGCCAGGCACAGACCTCCATGGAACAAGCAGCAGCAGCAGTTGATGACAGAGGGTTCAGCCTGGCCTTTCAGGGCTTCCCGCACTCCCTCATTACAGCCTGCCTCAGCACCCCAGCCCTTCCCACCTCTGCCTCTGTAGGTTCTGTCTGGCCATGAGGGGCCCATCAGTGGTCTCTGCTTTAACCCAATGAAGTCCATCCTGGCCAGTGCCTCTTGGGACAAGACTGTGCGCCTGTGGGACATGTTTGACAGTTGGAGAACCAAAGAGACCTTGACTTTGACCTCTGATGGTGAGCTGTGGCTGGGCTCTGTAGATAGGACCCAGGGCCAGAGCTGTTTTTCTCCTGTCGCCGTCCAGCCTTGATCTTCTCTAGTATGCCTCTTCCTTGATCCTAGTTGTGTGTTTGACATGAGCTCAGTGGGGGGTGAGAGTGATGCTAGAACCCCCCCCCCCAGGTGCAGCAGCTAAGCAGCCCCCAAGGTTGGTGTCGTGACCAGAGAAAACCGGTTGTTTAGTCCACTGGCGGGCTGCATCAGACCTGGAGCCCGGGGCATTTGTCATGCGCCCTGTTGCTTTCCAGAGCTAAACCCGAGTCCCTGGGAGTGGCCAGAGCAGACTACTATCGGGAGACCTGTGTGCTTCCTGCCCCACATCTGGCCTTAGGTCTGTCACCTGTAGCATCGGCACACTGCGGTCCTGAGGCTCTCACCCTAGGCTGCCTCAGGCTAATCTTGGTTGTGACTCACTTCCAGCCTGGCTGCCCTTCTGTCAAACTTGTGTGTCTTAGCAAAGTCCCCTCTGCATCATCACTGAGGTAGCCAGTGGTGCTGGTTTGTTCCCAGCTGGGCTGTGCTGCCTTCCAGGGTTGGTGCTGCTCTCAAGGGGTATCCTTGCACCTTGGGCTTCCCTGGTCTCCTGGGCCTGATGTTGGTCTCTCTCTAGCCCTGGCTGTGACTTTTCGGCCTGATGGTGCAGAGCTGGCTGTGGCCACACTGAACTCACAGATCACCTTCTGGGACCCTGAGAATGCTGTACAGATGGGCTCCATCGAGGGCAGGCATGACCTCAAGACAGGCAGGAAGGAGCTGGACAAGATCACAGCCAAACATTCAGCCAAGGGCAAGTGAGTGTCAGCTCTTCTGGCAAGAGTGAGGGATGGCCAGCACAGGGCACAGAGGTCCCTTGGCCAGCTTCTTTGCTAAATACGTTCTGAGACTGCCTAATCCTTAGTGGAGGTAGGTGGGGCCTGAGCCTCCATAGCAAAGAGGCCGCTTCTGAGAGCCAAGCAAGTCCACATCAAACCCAGCATGGAAACGCCGTGGATTTGCTGGGTTTTCCACATGCAGGAAAAGAGTGCTCCACTTGGCAAGCCATTGCCATTAGCCTGGTGTGGTGGCCCCAGAGAGACCAAGAAGGCCACTAGCACGTGTGCTGCTTTTTGTGCCCCCTTGGGATTAGAACCACATAGTTCTGGACCGGTTCTAGGCTGTCTCCAGTGGTTAGATGGGGCCATCTGGGTGTGTGCTGGTTTGGGTTCATAGGTTTACCTTTTGGCTGAGGTTGGCCAGGGAATCTTGAGCAACAATAATGTGAGAAGTATTTGCCTCCTGGGGTGTCACTGTGGGGTCCCTACCTGCTCCAGATGACTTTTGAGCCCACGTGTCAAGTGCTTGGTGCTTGAGAAACTGTCTTCCACTCAGGGCTTTCACCACCCTGTGTTACTCTGCGGATGGGCAGAACATTCTGGCGGGAGGCATGTCCAAGTTTGTGTGCCTCTATCACGTGCGGGAGCAGATCCTGGTGAAGAGGTTTGAGCTTTCCTGCAACCTCTCTCTGGACGCCATGGAGGTAAGCAGCGGTGCGGGCCTTGTAGCAGGTGCTTTGGCTCCATGGGCCTTGAGTGGGCCAAGATGTCGGCACATAGCCTATGGCTGTGGCAAAGCAGGAAGGCTGTATTGGCCCGACTGCCCAGAAGACCCTCCACCCCCCAGGGCCTGGCACCTTCACTATCTTTGGTACTGATACCACTTGGTTAGGATGCTTGGAAGACAGGAGCATTTGGTGTAAACTGGCTCAGGGCAGGTTTAGAGGCTCCTTCAGAGCCCTGTAAAGGAAGAGAACAAAGGCAGGTCTTGACCAGGTACAGCTTTCTGCCTGGCCCTGGCCCCCTGTGCAGCCCCAGTATTACAGGCCTGTGTCCTCTCTACCCTTTAGATATCTGCACTGCCCTCCTTGTTTACCAGTCTGTGCCCCAAACCCTCCTCATACGCGGTCTGCCTCAGGAATATGGCTGAGGGCTCTGAGCAGGCCTGTGGTGTCTTGGTGTGCGAGCGTGTGTGTGTGTGTGTGTGTGTGTCATGCTCTGAAGAAGGTTCTGTGGCTAGGGTCCACATGCCAGTTAAGGCACAGTTGGTGACATGGGCAAGAGCGAGATGAGGGCGGCTTCTGTTGTAGGAGTTTCTGAACCGAAGAAAGATGACAGAGTTTGGCAATTTGGCCCTCATTGATCAAGATGCTGGGGAGGAGAACGGCGTGGCAGTTCCATTGCCAGGTGTAAGGAAAGGTGAGCAGAAGCCTTTCCCTGCCCACCACCCACTTTCCTTGATGACACTGCTGCTCCCTCCATGAGGCTGCACTGAGGAGTCTGGTGTTTCCGCATTGTGACATTTGGCTGGAACCTGGAATGCCTGGGCTGCTTCATATGGGAGAAGGCCCCATCTGTTTCTCCAGAGACTCGATGCTAGGAGCCACCCAGGTCCCAGGTAGATTGGCCCAATACACATGAGTTGAAAAGCTGGAGTACCTTTATGGAGGCTTTCCCTGGGCCAGCCAGACCCACCTGGACTGGGCAGACCTCTGAACCAGAAGAGTGGTCTGCTGGCCAGTGGATGCCCTCAAGAGCTCATGCCCTCAGACCTGTGCACTGATGCCCAGCTTCATGAGACCACAGCACTTACGACGGTTCTCGGGCTGCTGGCAGATGGTTGGAAGGACTGCTTCCCTCCTGAACTCTGGGAAAGCTGTTCTTTGTAGGTCCCTGTGACTGCAGTTGGGCAGCACAGTGGACCTGAAGGCTGGCCTCAGAGTGCATTCAAGTAAGCACGCTTGTTTTTCCTCCTCAGGTGATATGAGTTCTAGACACTTCAAACCTGAAATCAGGGTAACTTCTCTGCGCTTCTCTCCCACTGGTGAGCCTGGGTAACCCTCATAAGCAGGTGCCAATTCTGATAGGTGTTAGGGCCTTTGTTCCCACGGGTAGGGGCAGTGTTGAGCTGCTGCTGGCAGGCTCTAGGCATTGCTGTCCTGTGAGTAGGAAATGACTGGCCACATGTTTACCCTGGTTCTTGATGTGAACAGCTGTGAAATTCCATCCACACCATAATGAGCTATAGTGGGATCCTAAGCCCTGCTCTTGGAGGGGTAGGACCTGACAGTCCACATGGCCTTCCTCAGAGGCAGTCTCAGCACCTCAGCTATTGATAGTGCCTTTCCCACCTTTCCTCTGTCCCTCCATGTTCAAGGGTCTGCCTAGGCCTGAGGCCTGCCAGGTTTGTGTGTTCCATTATTATAGCCAAGGTCTGGGGTCCTGAGCCAGTGGTCTGCAGCACTAGTGGAGCAGACAGAGTGAGGTATGGTGTGTTGTCATTCTGTGTCAGACACATTCGGAGATGATCACCCCATATCCCACTTCCCATATTGGGAGGTAGACCAAGCTGTCCATGAACCACAGCCTGAGGCCCAGATCTGTTCTATCTGTCCTGTCACACAATTTTGTAGCCTTGGTTTCTCTAAGATAGAGCCACTGTTGATTATGCCCAGTGTGTGGGCACACCTTGGGTGTGGGCAGCTTGAGCAACTGCAGCACAGACTATGGCCTTCAAGGCTGTGGGTCTGCCCTGTTCTGGGAAGCCTGCTGACTCCTGGGACAAGCCAAGGCAATGGGCATCTGTGCTCTGGCTGGGCGGTTACAGCCCTGGAAGAGTGTCTGTCATAAGTCTGTCGACACTGAAGTGGGGTAAATGAGCTTCCCAGAGTTGAGGGAGTCCCTCTGCTGCTTGCTCCCTAGGGCGCTGCTGGGCAGCCACCAGCACAGAAGGGCTCCTCATCTTCTCTCTGGATGCCCAGATGCTCTTCGACCCATTTGAGCTGGACATCAGTGTGACGCCTGGGCGGATCCGTGAGGCACTACGGCAGAGGGAGTTTACCCGGGCCATCCTCATGGCCTTCCGGCTCAATGAGAGGAAACTGGCACAGGAGGTCCTGGAGGCTGTGCCCCAGGACGAAAGTAAGCCAGGACCGCCAGCCCTGGCCGCTGGTCCAGGGGAGCTCCGGATGTCTCCATTCTTCCTGGCGACTTCTTTGCAAACTGATGGTGGCTTTTCTTCTCTCTGCAGTTGACGTTGTCAGCGCTTCCCTTCCTGAGCTGTATGTAGAGAAAGTGCTTGAGTTCTTAGCTGCCTCCTTTGAAGTATCTAGGCACCTTGAGTTCTACCTTATATGGACCCAGAAGTTACTTATGTCACATGGACAGCGACTGAAGTCCAGGTATAGAATGGGTTCCCTCTTGCTCTTCTCCTGTGGGTCAAGTCACCCGGCCATTTGGTCATGGCCACAGGGAAGCTTCCCGGCACACACACACTGACAGCATCTTCTTTTCAGGGCGGGACAGTTGCTGCCTGTAGTCCAGTTCCTTCAGAAGGGCCTCCAGCGACATCTGGATGACGTTTCCAAGCTGTATGTGCCTTGGGGTTGGTGGGCAGGGCAGGGCAGGGTAGGGTAAGGCAGGGTGGGGCAGGACAGGACTCATGCAGCTGGTTCTGGTTAAGATTGCTTCCTGTGGTGTCTGATTTGGGCCGGAATATCCTGGTGTTAGAGATGCGTGTTTTGCTCTCTGCTGGGTGAACTGAGTCCATTTGCCACTCACAGTGGGATCTGAGTGTGATGACCACCTCTGGGTGTGACTGACGTTAAAGTGAGGACACCGTGAACCCTTGCCACAGTTGGACAGGTGCAGGTGGGACATGCCTGAGGTGTAGTGAGAGCCCTTCACCCTGGGGTTGGACACTTCACAATTGCAGGGCCAGGCAGCCTGGCCTGGATTTACACATCACCTCTGGGCAGTAAGAGGTGGCCACAGGTCTTATTGCCAGGCAACCTGGATTCTTGAGATCTATCAGTGTGTGCACGTTTCCCTGGTGTGGTGGTGATGCCAGTGTATAACTACAGTATTTGGACAGTGCTAGCTAGAAAGACCCCATATCCATCCTTCCTTTCCTCAGCCTCCTCCTCCAGGTGGTTTGGTGATCTGTGAGCAATTGCTATGTGTCCTAGCTAGGCTTAGAATATCCCTGTCTACTAGTCTCTCCATACAGGGTCCCTGAGAGAGGCTGGCACCTGGGCACTGTGGTTCCCATAGTCCTCCTGATTATCTTTACAATGCTTCTGAGTCTAGAGCAAGCCCTTCCTCCTTGTGCCCTTTCTTCCTGCCTGGCTGAAGGAAGGCTGGTGTTGGAGGTGGTTATGCTAGGATGTAGCGCTCTGCTTAGCTAGCCTTTCCCTGGCCGATGCATCCCTGACCCCACAGACTCTTGCATCTCCGTCTCCTCCTCCAGGCCTTGCTCCTGGTCTAATATTGTTGCCAAGGCTTAGGCTTTACTGGCTTTGTGTAGATTTGTGAGGCAGCCCTGTATATATGGCCATAGCACCCACAAGTGCAAGGTGCAACTTTTCCTTTCTACTGGGTTCTGCCCTCAACCATGGCTCTGGAGATAAGGTCTGAATCATCCCCTTAGTCCTGTGAATGTGGAGAGTCAGCCCCCTGGCTCTGTAAATGGCTGTAATGGAAGGGCCAGCAAGGAGAGCAGCCAGATGCTTCTCTACACTGGGTGCAGCAGGAACTGAATCAGCCTGAGAAAGGAGGAGATAATTTTTGGGAACAGTGGCATCTAATCCTGCTGGCAGGGTGGGATGCATATGCTGACCTAATGTCCTGTGTCCCCAGCTGTAACTGGAACCGCTACAACATCCAGTACGCTCTGGCAGTTTCCAAGCAGCGGGGCGTAAAACGTACCCTGGAACCCTTAGACACAGAAGAGGACGCAGACACGTCTGATGATGACAATCTGCACCTACTCAGGAGAGCTGCAGATGAAGAGGAAGAAGAGGGGATGCTGGTGTAGAACCACCACCTCACAGCCTGAGTGATGGGAGATGGAGATGGGACCACTGTGCCGAGCCCAGGAAGTGAGAGATGCCAGAGGCCTCAAGAGCCTGCAGCCGGGACTTCCTATGAGACTGCACATGCTGCCCTGAGGCAGCAAGCCAGCCTTTGAGGTCCAGGACCAGGATGGATACAGTGGGCACATGTATGCTGTAGGCCCAGAATGCTTTTTTAGAAGTGTGGACTTGCAAACTTCCTGTCAGAATTATTTATATTTTTAATATGAACTTCTGAGAATGAATTTTTTTTTTCCAACTTAGGGTTGAAAAACTTTTTTTTTAAATGTGAGGACTTCACTTCTCAACTTGGAGTTTCTGACGATTATAATGTGTCCTGGGTGAGACATTGTCTTTAAGTAAGCAGGGTAGATCAGAGTGGCTCTCTGCTCAGGCCTGTGGCCCAGGATATCTATATGTAGACAGAGTGAGGCAGAAAGTGTGCTGGGCTGACCCAGAAGGGTGTATGTGACAACCCAAGGCTGGCCAGGGAAGCTTGTACAGATCTGTGCCAGTGTGTACAGGTTATGTTTGAGAGGAGTTGGTCCCTTCATGCCAGAGTGGTGCCTTACTGATACTTCCTGCTCATGTGGTTGACCAAGTTCTGCATGTCAACTCACCAGTGAAGTGACCCACAAGTCCCAACTCTCATGCCGGAATACTAGACCATTGGCCTCTATGTCCAGGCTACAAGAATTGATCTGTGTGACGCCTGGCGCACTTAGAGCCATTGCTGTTACACTCAGGCTGAGCCATGCCATGACACTGTCCTGGTCACCTGGGATCCATTCAGGCTTGAACAGTGGGTGTGGAGAGAAAGCAGAGCTCAGCCTGGTGTCACCAGGTTTCCTGTTCTTGCAGTGTTTCTGTGTGTAGCTTGGGATAGTGGGGGAGGCACTTCTGCCTGCCCAGGGGCAGGGTCCTGGCCGCCCTGGCTTGTTTTAGTGCCCTCCTGTGATTTCCATCTGCAGTAGTGAATACAATTTTATGAAGCCTTACCACTTTTGTCTGTGTATGTGGTGCTGAATGTGGAACAGGGCTCGGGGAATGATGGGCAAGTGCTGCTGAGCTGTACTTCAGCTATCGCCCATCTCTAACAAGTTTAATTATTATACCAGAACCAGGGCTCAGTCACCCTTTGGAGTACCTATAGGTCTGCTCCTTGGTAACCATACCCATCTCCACCCCTGTGGACAGCCAGATGCAAATTGCCTGACACTCCATTGAGGGTTTTTTTGTGTGTGTGGGGGGGGGGAGTTCAAGACAGGGTTTTTCTGTGTAGCTTTGTGCCTTCCTTTCCTGGAACTCGCTTTGGAGACCAGGCTGGCCTCGAACTCACAAAGATCCACCTGCCTCTGCCTCCTGAGTGCTGGGATTAAAGGCGTGCGCCACCACCGCCCGGCTCCATTGAGTATCTTTGCCATGGCTCCCAATAAGTGTTGGGCCACCAAGCCCACATCTGTATGCTCCCTGGCTTCTACATATGCTATACACCCCAGACCTATTTTCATGTGTCTCCTAAACTTGAAAGGGCAGCCATCTTAAGATAGAAACACCCAGCAGCTGATTTCCAAACACTATGCTGGCGATCACCCCCAGGAGCTGAGAGAAGCCAGGCCACCTTTGACAGTGTTCACAGTGGCAAGGGAGAAGTGAAACTTTGAAAGGTGTTTGGTTATTACCCCAATGGACACTGAACTGTAACAAGCCTTTCATCAACTGCAGCCACCACGCCTTTAATCTCTGCACTCAGGAGGCAGAGGCAGGCAGGTCTTTGAGTTTGAGACTAACCTGGTCTATAGAGTGAGTTCCAGGACAGCCAGGGCTACACAGTGAAAACAAATAAAAATGTGAAAAGGGAAGCACAGGTGTTCAGCTCTTCCTCTTTTGTTTTTGGTTGGTTGGTTGGTTGGTTTTTTCGAGACAGGGTCGTCTCTGTGTAGTTTTGCGCCTTTCCTGGAACTCGATTTGTTAAAATCAGTTCACGGGCATTTTTGGTGACTGCACAGAATGGAGCTGCAGGAGGCAGTCGGGGTGGCCTACTCCAAGAAGAGTGCCCTTCAAACACTAGGCAGGCGGGACACGGCCACTAGCACACTCACGGGAAAAATCCTAACCTACACTGGCAACTGCCCAGGCTTGCCTTTGCCTCTCAAAACCAGGGAGGGGCGTGTCCCACATTCGGCCGGTCATTGGGCAGATGCAGTCCGCTTACCGGTCCCTTAGGTCGGGGTTTGGGGGGGTTAGGGGTGGTGTTCTGCGGCCGGGCTCAGCCGCTAGTCCACTCCCGAACGTGGTGCTGCAGTGCCTGTGCTCCGTCGATCACTGCGCAGGCGTGGTCCCGCCCGCCTCTAGGGAAAGGGCGTGCAGCGCGCTCCTCCATTGGCCAGGAGCGACTCCGCCCAACTGCGCACGCAGCAACGCTGTGCCGTGTGCTTTTCTCCTGACACTGCTGTCTGTCCTTCGCTATGGCTGTCGTCAGGGCTCTGGTGGCGCCGAGGCTGCTTTCTGCGCTCGCACCGCTCTCGGGGCGCCACCATGCTCCCTCCCAGCGCGCAGCCCTTCACAGCTCCGCACCGCGGCCCGGGGCCAGGGTGGCATTGGTGAGTGCACGGCCAGACAGGCTCCCAGGCCAACTCCCTCCCCTTGCTCGCTCCCCGCAGACTGGGATCGACCCGCTACCTTCCCAGGGTGGGCCCCTGAGGGGATTCAGCCTTCCTCTCCCCTTGGTGATTTCGTATTGGGCCCTTCGTCCTGGTCAGCGCCTCTCCTCTTGCAGGTGCTGTCGGGCTGCGGAGTCTATGACGGAACCGAGATCCACGAGGCCTCTGCGTAAGTCCTCAAAGTTTGTGATGTAAACGCTCTCTTGGTTTAAAAGGCAGAAGCGTAACCAAATGCAGTGGGTTCACGTCGTGATCAGTTCAAACTCATAATTAGCACAGGCAAGACATAAAAGATGCCACCCGGGCCCTGGGTGAAGGCAGAGTACCTGGCAGCAGCCTGGGGCCCTGAACCCAAAATTCAACACTTGCTGAATGAACAGCCAGCCGCCTCTGCTCACCAGTTGGTAAAATGAATTGTAGAGACCACTTGACACACATGCCTACATGCTCTTCTGGTTCCACCCTCACCTTGCAGAGGTCTGTAAGTGGTAGGTACTGGTTTAGAGCCAGCCATGGCTTCATAAAAGCAGCAAGGTGTCCTATAAATTAGGAATGCCCCCCCCCCCACGCACTTGGTGAAAGTTCATTTGTAAAATCATCTTGGCATGAGTTTGGAAGTGACATCTTTGTGGATTTTCTCCACATAGGATCCTGGTACACCTGAGCCGAGGTGGGGCTGAGGTCCAGATCTTTGCTCCTGATGTCCCTCAGATGCATGTGATTGACCACACCAAGGGAGAGCCTTCTGAGAGCGAAAGCAGGTATGGGTAGAGGAAGGACCATACAGGACCAGTCCCACGTGCAGCTTCTATTGTATAGCCTTCTTGGTTATGCGGTTGAGCAATAGTCCCTCAGAGCAGCTGTCATCCAGCTGTTCTGGGAATACACTGCCATGGGCACAGTGACTCTGACCTCCCAGTGAGTGTTACAGGAATGGCAGTAGCCACTGCTGTACTTCCTCTGGATGTAAAGTCCTGGTCTGTTCTTCCTAGTCACTGTGTGGCGATGTGTTCTCTTTAGCTAATTTGCAGCTACCTTTTCCCTTTTGTTTAGTTTTGGTTTTTGTTTTTTTGAGATAGGATCTGTTTGGCCCTAAGAGGCCTGGAACTCACTATGTAGAACAGTCTGGCCTTGAATTCATAGAGATTCACCTGCCTCTTCCTCCCAAGTGCTGAGATCAAAGGCATGTGCCATCATGCCCAGCACAACTACATTTCTTATCTGAGGCCTGGTTGCGGGGTGGCCCTGAAGGCTGTGACTTAAGGGCTGAGACTGAGTGGGTAGGGAGGGGAACTTTAACTGCCAAGGCTGCCTGTTGGGATCCCTGCCATTTCCTTCTCAGTCCAGGACCATGGCCCTGGGTCTGCCCTTCCTCCTCTGTTATACCAGCCTGGATGAGGTAGCAGTATCTTCCTGCTGTGTCTGATGTTCAGGTGGCTTCAGGCATCCTTAAAAGTAGTTTCCTAGACAACCTCTCTGGTAAGGAGCACTGGATTCCAGGTATCCTGGTGTTGATCCTGGGGCCAGCCTGCAAGGCTTGTTGTTTTTGTAGGGCACTGGAATCCTGTCACTGTCTCCAGATGTTGCCTGGCTGTGCTCATTGGGAAGCATTGGTCTCCATGTGTAAGCATGCTCATTTCTGACTGTGAGCCGTGTTCAAGATGAGTCCCCAATGGTGCCTGTGTCCTGGCCCTGCTTACACACTTATCCTTTGTATCATCTGTGCTCTTTCCAGGAATGTTTTGGCAGAATCAGCAAGGATTGCCCGAGGCAAGATCACCAACCTGGCCCAGCTCAATGCTGCCAACCATGATGCCGCCATATTCCCTGGAGGTTTTGGAGCTGCCAAAAACCTGTACGTTCCCAAGTATAAGGGTCTAGACCACACTTGTGTCTGCTCTTTTACAAGGGGTGGACTGGGGACACTTTAGCAAGACCAGCGGGGTGTTCTCTGCTTCTTCCTTGGAGCACTCCAGTGCCTGGAAGCTGTCCGGGTGGGCTGGGCAGTCTACTGACCTCCATGCTGTGAGTCAGGTCTCAGCAAACTCTGCTTGCTTGTCCTTGCAAGTGCCAGTTCTCCCACAGAGCTGTCCTCCTTCTGTGGTGGTTTGAATGTCAATGGCCATAGGCTCTTATGTTGGGATGCTTGGTCCCTATTTGGTGGAACAGTTTTGGAAGGATTAGGAGGTGTGGTGTTGTTGGAGAATGTGTATCACTGGGGAGTGGGCCTTGAGATTTCAAAAGTCCACACCAGGTCCACTTAGTCTCTGTCTGTCTGTCTGTCTGTCTCTCTCTGCCCCCAGCTTGCAGACCAGATGTAAGCTCTTAGCTACTGTTCCAATGCATGCCTGCCTGCTGCCATGCTCCCTGCCATGATGGTCGTGGACTAGCCCTCTGAAACCATAAACATGTCTTCTTACCTAAGTTGCTCTGCTCACAGCATCTCTTCACAGCAGTAGAGCAGTAAACAGGACACCCTCTTCCACTCTGTGGCAATAGGAAAGACAAAGCCTTTTGTGCTTTGCTATCTGAGCTGCTGTTGCTGTGGGAAATAGCAAATAAATTGAAGGTGACAGCCGCTGTATTGGGGTCCTTTTCTCCGCAGCTCCTGTTGGTTCTTTCTTGAGCGTTCATGGGAGTCTTTGTGGTTCTAGCCTCAGCATGACCCTGTCTGAGAGGTGCCCCCGCCCCCGGCTGGTTGTCAGGGGGAGCCTCGAGCAGGCTCTGCAGTGTCCCCAGGTGTTTCACTGGGTGTCCTGCTCCCACAAGGGAAGGACACAGGGCTTCATGCTCGGAAGTGTCACCAATGCAGCTTTCTTAATCTGAACCCTCTGACTGCTTGGTTGGGCCACCAAAATGTCCCTTTCTCCAGGTTCTGCACACCTCCAGTCTCTTTGGTAGCACCCACCCCCTCTGTCCTGAAACCAGCCATTCTGGCAGTGCCAGCCCTAACCGAGGGCCTGTGTGCCCCATCCTCACAGCAGCATGGCAGGGCATGGGTGTCACTGGGGTTTTTTCCCTTCTACCCGGACCACTGTTTCTTGGAAGACTGAGCTGTGTTCATGACTTCCGCCTGTCAACTCCTGCCTCGTGGAAGATTGTCTAGAAGCCATATCTGCCAGCATAGCTGGTCCGTCTTGTTCCCTTAGGAGTGTGGGCTCGGGAGCACGTGAGGTCCTTGGTGTTGAGTCTCCATGGCACTTGAGGAGTCTGTGAGCCTCCGTACCTGTGTCTGAGCTCACTAGCCCGTGAGGTAGCTGCCATCTTCAGGCTTTCTGACCCTTGCAGAAGAGTGGCAGGCCCTCGTTGACGCTGCTCTTGAACCCATAAGACCG